CGGCCACCCCAGGGGAGGTGAGTCTGCAAAACCCCACCCCCCCCCCGGCACAGCCGGCGGGTCGGCCGCGGCAAAGCCCCGTCGTCCGCCGGGCCGAACGCCGGTGCTTTTGGCGTTGCAGAGAAGCAGAAGCTGCGAGCCAGCGATTACCCCCTGATCGCCCGCATCCTGCAGGGCCCCTGCGAGCAGGTCTCCAAGGTCTTCCTCATGGAGAAGGACCAGGTGGAAGAAGTCACCTACGACGTGAGTTTGCTGGCATGGGATGCTCGTCGTTTTTGAATGGGCTCGGGATGGAGCCGGGGCCGGAAAACTGGGGGGACGTCTCCATGCTTGGGGATGCAGGAGTTGCTTTACTTTGCTCCCACGTCTCCCCGTGAAAACTCCCCATCTTATGGGAAAGACCTTGCTCTGTGCTTAAAGAGCATCTTTAAACTGCAACCGAGAGCAAACGCCCCCAGCCCCATTTTGCCATCCCAAATGTGATCGCAGGAGAGCAATTGCTGCACATCTTTTGGCGTAACTGGTACTTTTTCCAGCCGGGGAAAGCGCTGCAGGTGGGAAACGGCTCGTTCATGCCATCTGCCGGCTCCCTCCTACCCCGGCGCTGCTCTGCTCTTAAACCAGAGCACCGATGAGGCACTTTTGGGGTACATTTGGGCTTAAACAGCACTCAGTGACACGTTGGGGATGTGCAGGGCTCTCCATACGAAGGAGCCAAGTCTTGCAGCCAGTGGGTAAAATAAAATAAACCTTGGGTGGATTTTTTCCCCAACAATTAGCTAGCACTCGTTTTGCACAAGCTGATGTTCATGCCGTGCAGAGGAAACGTGGTTTCTTTTAGGGTTTGTTGCAAAAGTCGGGGGGGGGGCCTTGATTTTCCCGGTTAAATCTGGGGAGAGGATGCTGCGAGGTCGCCTTCAGCCTTGCAGGGTCGGTGCATCACCCTCTTCATCGCCCGGCTTGGCATTTCTCTCCCACCCAGGTTGCTCAGTACATCAAATTCGAGATGCCCGTCCTCAGGAGCTTCATCCAGAAGCTGGAGGAAGAGGAGGATCGTGAAGTGAAGAAGCTAATGCGCAAGTACGCCAGGCTCAGTGGCATTGAGGGGAGATGCTGAGAGTTAAGGACATTGTCGGGGGGTTATTTCAGTGCCGAAAACGCGTTTGCACAGCCTTGCATCCCTAATGCAAGCATGAGCCACTGAGTTTTGCATTATTCCAGGGTTTTCTTGGCAATTTGGGTTAAAAGCCCAGTTTGACGCTGCAAAAATCCTCTTTTCCTTGTCCTTCGCCTCTGCAGATACTCCATCCTCCGGCTGATGATCGAGCAAAGGCTGGAGGAGATTTCCGAAGGTCCGACGGCGATGTGAAACGCTTCGCCGGCGCCCCAGCTCCGGGTTGCATTGCACGAAGAGCCGTTTGCCTGCAGGATGTACCGTACCGACTCCCAAACCCCTGTCGTCCCCGGAGCGCTCCCCGTGTCCGCCCGGATCGCTCCGGCTCTGAGCCAACCCATCCTCCCGCGCCTTCATCCGCGCAGCATCCTCGGGGGGGGTTCCTCCTCTGCAAATGGGGTTTTTCCCAGCAAGGCTCTGGCCGGTAGCGGCTTCGGCCAAAACCTCAAATCCCTGGAAATAATGGGGGGGACGGGGGGGTGGAAGAGGAAATCCGTGAGCAGGGCGAAGCCGCCGAGGACAGGGCCGAGCGAGGGCTGCAAGCGTTCGACAGCAAGAATTTGGGCTCAGTTTGAAGATGCTCGCCGCAGCGGTGCCCGCGCATGGCTCCCGGCGGAGGACCCACTGCTCGGTGGCAAGAGAGCACAAATAATTCCTCTTTTTTTAAAAAAAAAAAAAGCACATTTCTATTGCAATAATTCGCAGGTGACGGGAAGCTTTTTGTAAATCGATAAGGCTCCGCTGAGAGTTGGAGGGTTTTTAACACTTTTGCTGCCGAAAGCAAAACCTGGGGACTGACGGTTGGATTTACAGCGAAAGAGTAAATCGCTTTTTTTCCGGCGTGTTCCCTTAACCTGCATCTGGTCGCGTAACTCCCTCCTTCCCCCATTTCTAATTTGCACTAATTTTAGGGATTTTAAGAAAAAAAACCTACAATGTCAAACCTCTCTGGTAGCTGCAACATGCCAAATAGCTCTCACAGGAATAGTTTATGGCGCTGAGCATCCCTCGAGGGATGCTGTATGGAAAGCGGGGGGGATGGCAGGAGGAGGGAGAGGCAGAAATAAAGAGGGTTTTATTCTGCAAATTAATTTTGCAGCGGTGCCGGCACATCGTCCCGGTGAAACCGGGACCGGGACTGGCTCCGCTATCACCGTCACACCTGGAAAAACCTCTTTCCTCCCGGGCTAAACCAGCAATATCAATTTTATACCTCGATGTGAACTAAAACTCTGACTTTCTCCCTCCCTTGAGTTTTTGCAATGTATCTTTGTAATTTTTTTTTTATTTTGATGGTACCTTTTCCACCTTTAACACGTGTTAGGGAAAGTATTGTACAGCGAGAAAAGCTTTTTATGTATTTGAAGGATGACTGTGGCGTTGCTTCGTTGATTAACAAGAAAACAAAATATGTAGCAACTTAATACAGAATGAAAACCCCCGCGTTAGAGCCTGGTTTGTTCAAAATAAAGCACTTTGCGGATAGAAATGCTCCTGAAATGTGCTCTGCGTGGGCTGGGAGCGACGAGGGAGAAGAGCAAAACCTGCCTGGATCCTGGCGGAGAAGTTTCCCAAGGAGAAATGCTCCTGCCCTGCAGTTTTGGAGACTCACAACTGAATCGCTGGAGGATTTTTGGGGCCGTTGTAGGGTTTATCCAGCCCTTAGAGACTGTTTATCCCCACGCACCGCGGTCGGTGGGCTCCATCCTCTGGATATTTCCCTTCCAGAAGGTAAAACTCGCCTCTAGAAGAAAACCTCTGCATTGCTTAGCCTTGTTTTAAACACACTGAGTTTTTAAACCTGATCTCTTCAGGTTTTTTCTCCTCCTCGAGGCTGAGCTCTCTGCATCCCCGAGGTTATCCCCAGCCACGCTTTGCTTTCTCACCGAAGCCGCCGGCCCCACGTTGTCCAGCCCATTGAAGCCCATTTATCCCTCCCCGCGCAGGAGGGGGATACGAGTGACGTTGGCTCCGCTTATCGAAGCTTTATCCGCCGGGAAAAGTCCGATGTGAGTCGAGCCCGGCGGGCGCAGACGGGAAGAACCATCGCCGGTGCGGCCCCGGGTGCACGGGTAAGGGCGGCGTCCTCGGCACGGAGTTGAGGGCTAAAAAGAGAAGGAATTGGGCAGATAGCAAGGTGAAAAGTGCTGGGTTTTGGCACGCACCTGAGCTGGAGGTTGGGATGGGGAGAGCAGCCCGGGGAGGCACCGCACCCTGCCCGGCCGCTTCCACACCCGGGTTTTCCCTGGGTTGTGATCCATAAGCTGGGATCCTGCAGGTGAAATAAAGGGGGGTGGGGCTGGGAAATAGGAAGGAAAAAAATCCCCATGTCTTAATTTTTACGGGGTTTGCCACCTGGGTTTGCGGCGTTTCCAGCGGTGGCAATGCAGCTGCAAACAGCTGGGAGGGGGACGTGCACTTCTCTGGGCTTTCCTTAAAATAAACCGCATTAGTTGGAGGAGCAGGGCAGCGAAACGAGGCAAATTAAATTAATCAAGCCCTATTTTTTTTTTTTTTTCCGAAGCG